CCAGAGCAGAATCCGTTAACCATTCAGCAGCAGCAGCAGCAGCAGCAGCAGCAGCAGCAGCAGCGGCAGCAGCAGCAGCCCCTCTAGCATCGTTCCCAACATTAACACAGCCCAGGGCTTGTCCAAACTTGGACCACCAAACCTCGTCCGAATCTTTCCGTGGTTGGGCAGACCTGGCCGTGGCGGCTGTAACCCAACAAAGCCGGGCAAACACACAACTACAAGACACCGCCAAGGCACGGCCCTTGCGAGGCGTCTTGAAACCTCAGCCTCAACCCCGATCTCCAAAAGCTGCTTCGGGATTGACCGCTGAGGACTGAGGATTAAGGCTCTGAACGTGCTCACTTCACGAACGTCTGTAGAAGCATCACAGCATTTTACAGCCTTTATAAAACCCCAGGCCCAAATCCCGAAGGTTCTGGCAGCTGCTGATGGAGCTGCCTTGCGCAGCGGCCGGGAGCTTCTTGTCTCCGAGGCCACCGCGATATAGCTTTGTCCACTCTAAAGTAGAGGTCTGAATAGTGGGTTCAGGCTAGACTGCGATATCCCATACGTTCCTCTCCACTCGCATCATATCCATCTTGCTTCATCATCACCACCATCACCGTCACCATCATGACCATCATTGCCCTCTTGATCAACATCTACACCACCAGCAGCTTCTTCTCCTTCATATGCAGTCAGGGTCATATCACTCAGGGATCCTCTTCCTCTCTTCCTCATCCACATCGCCGTCCTCATCATCACCTGCTTCGAAACGAGAGCAGGAGACCAGCCATCCTTGGGATAGTCATTGAGCGGAATCCTGGCCGTTGCCAGCAGAAGCAGTGCCTGTCTCACAAAAGCTCTGGCTTTGGGGCTCAGGGTTTGCTGCTTAAGTCTCATGACCCCGAATTTCGAGGCCTGCTTGGAGCATGGGTAGTTATAAGAAGGGTTATAAGTCCCCTAATATAGGTTATAAGTATAGTTACCCTACTTATAACCCCACTTATAACTACCCATGAACCTCCAAGTGTTCCAAAGTTCACAGCAGGACAGCGGACAAACATGAACAGTCATCACATCATTCCCGCAACTGTTGTCCTGCGGACCCTGAAAGCAACGCCCCAAAACCCTAAACCCTAAACCCTAATTTGGCTCGAAACCCTCAAACCTTGGCCCTCAGCTTCAACTCATAACCCTGGAACCCTCGTAACGACGACACCCCTTAAAGAATCCTGATCGGAAGCCCTGTCATCGTCGAATTCTACAACCCCCTTCAAAGAGCCGATTGAAGAAAGCCTCCTCGTCGAATTCTCCCGGCCTCCACTCCAAATCCACGGCCGCGAGGCTTCAGACGACGAGGTGACAGTGGCTGGCCTGGCCTTGGCGATGGCAGATTGGCACCAAAGTGCGAGGCAGCATCGGGTAGGGTGAACCTGGACCATGAACAGCCTGGGCCTAGCCTTTTAAGGACCTATATAAGAACTCAGACTAGTCGTAGTAATGATCGTATCAGTAACAAAAACTATAACCTTGAAGAACCCTATAGAGGTGTGCTTAGAGCTTACAGATTATAGGGCTTAGGGTTTAGAACTTTGGGTTTTTTAGGATTTTCGGGTTTAGGGCGTAGGTTTTTGAGGGGGCGTAGAAGGTTCCGGTACCTTTTAAATCTTATAGGGGTTATAGGGTTGGTCCAGCAGTGATGTAGTGTTTAGTGTCTGGGGCCTATTTGCTGTTCAGGCTTTGCTGTGTAGGACCTTAGCCAAGGGTGGTTTTGTGTATCTACCGAAGTTAGGGTTTCTCGCGGGTTCAGGGTCGATTTAAGGTTTATCGGGTGTAGAGGTCGAGGCTCCCTAAGAATGAACCTCAACACCTAGACCCACGGACCCCACCTTGAGCCTCCTAAACTTGCAAATGTCGGGTGCTTCATTCAGATTTCTTGTTTGGTGTTGCTCATTCTCATTGCCTGCTACATCACTTTAAAGAGGTAGGTTAATTTGAAACCCAAGATGCCCTGCAAAAGCCTGTCCAGGCCTCTTACCTTCAACGGAGCCTTCTAATGGAGCCCTTGAACAAAAGGCTAACTAAAAGAAGGAGCTCTGCACCCTGGTGTGTACCCCGCTTTACAACCAGAATCCCCACTGTACAACCAGAATCCCCACTTCACAACCCACAAGCCTTTCCAGAATCCCCACTTTGCAACCGGTTGCGAATGCTTCTTAACATTCGTATTGACTGAGAACGTCACAGCCTGGAACCTCCAGCAGCATCCTTTACAGCAACCATGCAGGTTGGAAAGTTTTTCTGGTCGCTCAATGTGGGCGTTCTTAAGCCGAATCCAAGACATACATACATACATACATACATACATACATATATATATATATATGTCTATATGTGTCTGTGTCTGTGCGTGAGGGTTCGGTATCGATGTTTCCTTGGTAGCTCACCCCGCCGAGCTAGTTGAAGTAATATGTGTGGCTGCCAATATTCAGGTAGTAGTTGATGTTGACAGACGTGCAGACATGCAGACAGACATGCAGACAGACATGCGCAGACAATATGTGTGGCTGCCAATATTCAGGTAGTAGTTCATGTTGACAGACGTGCAGACATGCAGACAGACATGCAGACTGGTTGCAAGGTGGGGATTCTCAGGATCCACAGTTGCAAAGTGGGGGTTCTCACATCGAACACAGTGTCTGTGGTTGTAAAGTGGGGATTCTGGTTGTAAAGTGGGGATTCTGGTTGTAAAGCGGGTTAATCTCCTGCACCCTGGGACCCGTAAAAAAGGGGCCTTAATTATTACCTATACTATGTTGGGGGTTCCTTAGTATGATTATAGTATAATATACCCCAAAACCCTAGTCTAATTATTAAGGCCCCTACATTAATCCCTTGTAGTAGCCCTTATCGAACCCTGTAAGGAACGCTTTACAGGAACCCCCAAAACTCCATTGTAATTATTAAGGCCCCTATACTAGCAGAAGTCCTAAAGGAACCCGGGTCTTGAAGACAGGTTCGAGGGCCGAAGTGGAGCTTTGGCAGCATCGGAGCTTTCGGGACCTTCGGAAAAATTCGTAATGATATCCTGGGTTTAGGGTTTAGGGTGCTATCCCCCATATAGTAACCCAGTAGTTCGAGTATACAGTATACCATGCCTCACATAAGTTCGGAACTATGTGGGAAACTATCCGCCTATAGCTACAGTACACTATACCCCTAACAAATCAAGAAGGCCCTTCTCTTCGCGAGGCAATTTTCAAATTGCAGTGCGGATCGGAGCTTGGGGTTGGGTTTGAGGGGCTCAAAATCCCTTGGGGCTTTAGGGTTTGAGGATTTTTTTTAAAGGGGGGGGGGTTAGAGTTTAAATTTCGGGTTTAGGGTTTAGGGTTTGGAGGATTTCGTGGCTTTAGGGCTTCTCGTGCCTTTGAATGTAACTACGAGGCTTCTCAAAGCTTTCCACGCGTCTTTGCGGTGTAGGACAGGCCGCGCGTTACTTCTGCCACCAGGCCCCCGCAATGGGACTTAGGGCACTTGGGCTCATGGTGGTGTCAAGTCTTGTTGCTCTTGGCACAGGGTTTTTGGATATTTGAGAGGTGTTCAGGCATGAGATTAAGCCTCGAAGGTGGACAAGCGGCTTTTTGCCAGTTCACCCTAACTCCCCTGGCTTAGGATTTCCGGTGTCGGGTTTAGGGCTAAGTGTGCTTGTGTTTTGGTTCTGGCCTCCTCAAGCCTAAGCCCTAAACCCGAAGCCCCCCTAAACCTGGAAAAGCCATAAACCCACAACATCCCGCAACCCTAAACCCTAAACTGAATCCTACGCCCTAAACCTGGAAAAGCCCTTACACCCACAACATCCCACAACCCTAAACTTCAGAAAAGAAGCCTAAACCTGGAAGCCCCAAACCCCTAAACCCGAAATCCCACAACATCCCCCAAAGGCCCCCAAACCTCAGGGACCTAATGTAGGAGCCTAAATAAGTACCTATATTATTTTTTGGGGGGGTTCCTTCTAATAGTTATACTATAAAGGGCCCCAAGACCCTATTCTAATTATTAAGGCCCCTACATTCATCCCTTGTAGTAGCCCTTATAGAACCCTTTTTTTGGAAACCCTGTAAAAGAACCCCAAAACCCTACTCCAATTATTAAGGCCCCTACATTAGAAACCCCCGCGCCTCAGGGAAAGCCACAGTTCCCGTCGAGGGAGGCGCGAAGCGCCAGGTTGAAGGCACATGGGGGACGAGGGCTTATAGGGTATACGGCCTAGGGGTTTAGGGTTTTGGGATTTAGGGTTTTGGGGTTTAGGGGATGTGGGGGCGTACAGCTACTTCTTTCTGCTGCTTCCACAAGTGTTGTAGCTATCGTTCCTGATGACTGATACTCGTATTGTATGTGGGGTTTTGGGGCTTGGGGTTTAAGGGTATGCGTGCGAGGGCGAGGGGTGTTGATCGTTATCGAGGCTTTGTAGGTTGTTCCAAGGTCGGACTTTCCTTGGGAAGTGGGGGGGGGGGGGTAGAAGTGCCCAAATGGTTGCCAATACTGTTCCTAAAAGTTCCCCAATATACTTACATAGTATACTATACCTGCAACTCCTATTCTAACCATTAGGGCCCCCTAAACCCTAAGCCCTAAACNNACCCTAAACCCTAAACCCTGCATAGAGATAGCGTCCCCGATGTTTTGCAACTCCCCCTTGTTGGGTCGGCGCGGGGGTCTTCTCCCTGTCGGGCCTTTGCGGCTAGTATGAGGGCCTAGCTATTGAAAGGGTTTATGGAATATGGGAAGAATATACTGAAAATATTTAATTTCATGTTTTGTACAGATAACTTAAAAGAAGTCTATAAGGTTTAGGGTTTAGGGAGCTAAAGTCTACATGTCTTAGCTAAAGTCTGGTCAGGTGTAGGCTTTTCGGGTCTAGGAGGGAGCTTTACAGTCTACAAGGCTTTGCCATGGGTTCCCGAGTCTTTCGGCATCGAAGTTGTGGTGGTTGCAAATATATATATATATATATA